TAACATTCTGTGATTCTGTGAAAATGAACCTCCCTGCTAAAATTACTATCCCAAACTTCATGATTATGTTCTCTCTTTTTACAATAAAAGGTGGGGGAGACTAGAGAATATTAGTTAATATCAACACAACACAAAGCATCTCATACATAAAAGTTATAAAACCAGCAGCAGCAGATGGGCACCAAGTTAAAGGTTGATTCAGAGATCCTCATATCTCAGGGAATGCATTAGTCAGTACACCAAACAAGAAGGCATCCCATGGGGACCCTGTTGCTGATTTCCTCTATAATTCTAGGATTGCTAGAAAAACTCTGATATGGGGCAATAAATCCTGGTCTCCTAGCAAACACCCATATTCTTTTTTCTCTAAGAATGAAATGAAGAGATAAAAGCTTTGGCTGTCAAAATAAGATGAAGAGCACAATGCAAAAAAAAAAAAAAAAAAAAAATTTAAAAAAGGAGAGAGAAAGAGAGGAAACCTTGTTCTTATTGACATCAGCTGGTGCTAGATCACACTCAGTGGTTAGAAATGAATGCGAATTAAAGAATGATTTAAAAAGGCAGCCAGCCCCTCTTTATGCTTCTTGTATAGGCAGTGGAGACAGCTATAGTTTGGAGAAGAAGCTGCCTTATATATGTTCTAAATCATCCCCTATAACTGCCTGTCTGTCTCTGTTTGTAGGGGGGGAACCTGAATGGGCTTTCCTAGGCTAAAGTTTGCTGTAGTGATTGTTCCCCCATTGCTGAGCTGGCTTTACTCCAGAGCTCCTCTCAATGTTGGAGTATTATTCTGTCATAAAAGTGGTGCAATGAACTGGAAATCAGACACTAAGGTTAAATTCTGCTTAGGCCTAGAAGAAACCTACTAGAAGCCATAGGTAAGATGCTATACCATATAAATAAGTAGTATATTTAGGTAAGTGGAGAAGACCATTTATTCCATTAAATAAATCTCTCCTAAGTGAATCCTTATTGAAGGAACTGCATGTAGGTGGAACTGCCTAATATGAATCATGGAACAGATTTCTGATGAAGTGCTCTGTCAATTATGAGAGCCATCTATTTTGATTTGGATGGCTCAATGTTCAGGCTGCTCTTCAACATCCTTATGTTCTCCATGTGGTATTGCTATCATCAATTATTTACAGGATGGCATAAGCGTGAGTAGTGTTTTACATTGATGAGGTGCATAATCTACTCTGGCATTATCAAGCCACGGTATTTCTGCTGGGAGCAGTGAATTTGTCTAGCTGCTTAGTCTCTGCCCCACACAGCTCTAGGAACTGAAACAGAGAGGTGAATCTTGACAACATCTTTTAGGTCTGATACTTATTTCTGTTCAGTAGTCTTGACGTTAGATGTCTAGCCATTCGCTCCATGCTCTGTCTGCAATCAATGAAGACAAATAGGTGTCTGCAAAGTGCTATTTATTTAACTTTGCCAACAGAGGAAAACGGATGACATCTAAGACCAAACACACATCTTTTCTACCTCTAAGTTTAGGTGAGATAAATTCCGCTTTGGGTCAAAACGTAGTGACTGACACCAGCAGAAATCACTATTTCTCCTTGCTGACCCATGTCCAAGAGTCACGCTTGCCTCCTTACTGCTTGTCTGGCCAGTAATCTGGGGAGAAAGCATTGTTGCTAGAGTGGCTTAGAGAAGTGGTGGGGCTGGGGAGGAATGTTCATGCTTAGGAAGATGAAATTTTCCCTCTCTGAAGAAGTGAGCAGTTCTGCTGACTTTAAGTTATTAACATTGCTTTCCTTTTTTTCCCTCTTTTTAGGGTGAAGTCTTGGGCAGATGCCTTTAGTGGGGAGCTGTACTCCATTGTGACTAAGTATTCAGGCTCTCTCCTGTTGCAAAAGGTAGGCAAAAGCTGTGAGGGTTCCCTGGGCTGTTGATGTGGTAGAAGTTTGGCTTTCAGTGGTTTTGATGATGCTTCTGCATTGCCTATTCTTCCATTGGGCCCCCAGGTAATCATTATTAGAGGCAAAGTGACATGCTAAGGCATTTCTGGTGGGTCCTGGAGCTCCAGTCGGCAGGAGATACAGACTTGGATTATTTGATATTCAGGTACTTGTGTCTGATGCTGCATAGGTGTGCCTCAACACAGACAGCTTGCACTGCTTCTGTGTCTGTTTCTACTAAGAGATTAAGGGAGTTCATGTTCCTTAATGTCCAAAAGTCAGTAGGACTAAGGAGAACACAGGGTAGCCTGAAAATACCAATGTTACAAAAGATAATGATAGAGGCCAAGGGTGGCAGATGTGGCACTGAGGTGGGTGTCAAGACAGCTGTGCTGTGTTTGTCCTCTGGAAATGTTGCACCAGATCATTTCACCTCCCTCTGTCCACACTATGTGTTTTGTCTCTTGGGATCTCGTTCACTTTGGGGTAGGGGTTATGAGAGACCTGTAGATGCTAGTGTGGTGCAACTAAAAATTACACTTATGGCAATCAAATCTTGAAGAAAAATTCACAACTCTATCAGCTTTTGGTGTAATTCACTGGAAGCAAAGAAAAACAATTTCTGATGAAAAAGAAGCCTGGATATAATAAAATCCACTCTAATGTTCATGTTAAGAGGCATCAAGGCAGAGCTACGTTTCCCTGATATTCTTTTTCAAGGCTCTTAGACTCACATTTCCATGCCCAAGTATCTACATGGTTTTATTCCTGGAGAGATGAAGGTGTTTGGTTTGCTCTTGCATGTGTTTGGGTCTGGATGTAGCACAGACTGATTGTGCTTTGCACAATTTGTGGACAGCCTTGAGTGGAACACAGTGTCACCCATGCCTCAAAGGGAAAATGTCCTTTAGTGAGTCACTGTCACCACTTCCCACAGGGTTACAGATGAGCTTGATGTAGCCGTGATCTGTAAACACTGTAACAGTCCTGTCCTAAATGCATGACCTGAACTAATGTTACTTAAACAGTTTAAACAGCCCAGATTAACCTTTCAACTCTCAAGTCTGACTTCTTGAGTTCTTTCATTTCCCAGGAACTAGGGACGGACCAACCAGCACCCACTTCCTCCATCCTTCCCTCAGACTCTGTTTCCTTAGCAAGCACTGGGCCAGACACATTCTCACAAATCAGCATCTCAAAGCAGAGACCATCCAGGAGTGCTCCATCTGCAGCGCTTCAAGTGTCAGGGATGCAGGAGCACAGCTTCAGGACAGTTTTTTTACTAGTAGGCAATGTTTACATGCCCCATGAGAGGCACCTTGGCAGACTCCAAATAGCTTTATGTAGATCACCATGCTGGTGCAGACTGTGGGCAAGCCAGGCCTGGGGAGCCAAATGGAACCCAAGTCTGGAAATTCAAACGTGTCCTCCTCAGACACCCTTCTCTTCTTGAGCCATTGCTTGTTTTTCCCATGAAATATTTCTCTGTGTGGGTGAGTATGCAGCAGAGGTGGGGGGAGCACAGTGGGGGGCCCAGATCATTCTTTCCTCAGTGCTTAAGTTGATGGGCAACTTGCTTTTGAGGAAATGCAAACTGAGAGATAACACTTTTCGTATTTTACCTCATGTGTCCCTCATGCCTAATAGACTTGGAGTAACTAGCTTATTGTTGCTTCAACAGCTATGAATTTTCAGTTACTGAATGCTTTGCATGTAAAATATCTCTTTATTATTTGGCATAAACTTCCTTTTGTGACTTTGAGTTTGTTTGGTTTTCTTTGGGTTGGTTTGTTTCCTCCAGAAAAACCCTAAAATGTTGCAAACCCAAAATTTCTTACCAGGCTTTATTGTTCCCAGAGATCTGGTGAACTAGTAGATACCTCTTGAATCCATGAAGACATATTTTCACCCTGGAAAAAAGGGTGAGAAAGGCCCCAGGTGGTTCTCTAACCCAAGCAGTCAGCATGTCATCATATCAAACCTCACAGAGCTGGCAAAAGCTGAATAGTGCCTTTGTTTTGATGGCTGAAGCATTTGTTGTATTCTCTTGACCATTTAAGCAGCAGAGGATAAGATAAGCTTGTGTACTTGAACCTGGCTAAGAGATGATGGATCTGTACTAAAATGCTGGCTGGGGTCTAGACCAGCTGAGGGTACAACAGCTGAAGTAAGGAGGCAATGTGAAAGGCCAAGCAGGACAAGGGCAGTAACATCTCGGAGGAAACGGCCTCAAGTTGTGCCAGGGGAGGTTTAGGCTGGATATTAAGATAAACTTCTTTACTGAAAGGGTTATTAAGCAGTGGAACAGGCTGCCTGGGAAAGTGGTAGAGTCACCATCTCTGGAGGCATTTAAAAGACGTGTAGCTTAGGTTCTTAGGGACATGGTTTAGTGCTGGGCTGGCAGAGTTAGGTTAATGGCTGGACTTGATCTTAAAGGTGTTTTCCAACCAAAACGATTCTGTGCTCTCCCAGAGCTAAGGAATAGAAAGTTGGAACCTGTAGCTTATTAGGTCTGTTTGCCATAGTCCTGCTGCTGCAGCAGCTGGCCAGGTCATGACCAAAAGCCTGTGGCCATTGATGGCAGCCATGCCAGGAGACATACCATGGTGATTCTGGGCTTCTCAGGGCTTGCCTCTGAGTGACAGAAATGGCATCAGCTTCAGTAGACCCCAAACTTTTCTTCTACTAGTTTAATGACACATTTGAAGCTTTTCAGATAATTACTTCCCTCTTCCTTCTGTAGCCAAGGTGCTGATTGCCTTCCCCAGTGGATAGGGCTCAGAAAGGCCAGCAGGGCTTGGCTCCAGCAGTGTAATTACTAGAAAGTGCTAAAAAAAACAACGTAGCAAAGAAGAACAGAAAAACTGAAGAAGTTTAATTAGGCATTTTCCTGGGTGAAGATGAAAGCAATGTCCTTCACACTCTTAATATAGTTTGACTAGCAATGAGTAATGCAACGCTACTTCAATGGCCTAAATTTCATGGAGAAGGGAACAAGAAAATATATTTGGTGACATCTCTTTTCGCAGATAAAACTTAGGATACTGAATCCTGGATATTCCACTTTTAAATCACCACCCCCACCACTGCAGAAGGAGAATCTTAATTATTCCTGTTGTTTTAAGGGAATACCGAGTACGCAATGAGCATAAAAGTCTTCTGTTGGATCAGAGTTAACTTTCTGGCCCCCTTTCAACATTGGATCCTTTCAGCCAGTTCTCCTAAGTCTGTAGCTCATTCTGTTCTGTAGCTTGAGATGACCTGAACCCTAAAATCATGTTGTGCAGGTCAATAGTGTCAACATAGATGCTTGTAGTTGAGAATTTGCTGTGTATTTTCAACCATAGTGTCTGGTAACAGCATCAAATCACAGGTATTACTCTGTTGTCCACCTTTAGAAACTCTTGCAGTGAATATTCATTAATACCAAGAGATTTTAGTTGCAGGAATACAGAAACATTATGGTTTGCTATATCATTTTTAGAAAAAAAATAAGTTCAAAGGGGATCTGAGCTCACACATGGTGTACTCCTTGTAGCCAGCTGAAACTTTGTGGGAAGTGGTGGTTTTGGTGTTTTTTTTTTTTCGGTCTTCTCAGCTCTGACTAGTTCCCAGGGCTGACGTGCATGGTGTTAGTAGACTGATCATGATTGCTCATGATTACCTTTACCCTATTAACATCTACTTGTCAATGTGTTAAAGCACATTAAACAAAGATCCAGGTAAAGAGCTCTGTTCTTTTTTGGTTCAAGCTATGACCCAAGGTAACCGATGGCAGGTCACTTTGTAAGGCGCATGCGTGCCCGTGCTGGTGTGGTGCCCCGCTTCACTAGCTTTCCCAGGAGAGATTACCTTCCTCCCCCCGAGGAGAGCCTGATTAAAGCCTACCCTGGCAGAGATCACTTCCCTCCTGACAAAACCATGACATGGAGCTAAATGGGACAGGCACCAGCTGGGATGTGTGCTGTGGTCTCATCGGCAGCCAGGGACCTCAGTCGGGGGGTTATTGTTGCACGTGTCTCTCTTGGCAGCATGGCTATGCTAACCTTGGTGCTCAACCTAACCCCTCCCTCCTCATCCTCCTCCTCCTCCCCCGCCCATCCCAGCTACCCAGCCGCAGCAGAGGGGATGTGAGGCCTGGAGCTTTTAATCCAGTAAAACCCTTGCTGGTAATCATGCCAGACAGAGCAAGCAGCCACCCTGCCATGCTTGCTGCAGGCTGGATGCTGCTGCTATTTCTGTCTGACGTCCTCAGCCTGCCCCATCCTTAAGGCATTTTTTCCTCTGCTTGTGTTCAGCCACCCTCCTGGATGGTCAGTGAGCTTCTTGAACAAAAGAAGCTCCTCTGCTCACCCTAAAGACATGCAAAGTCCTTCACTCAATACTTTATTCTAAATCAAAAGTGCCACTAAAACCCCTGCCATCCAGTTACCCTTTTCAAGACTTCACTTTGCACCAGCACAAGAAGTCCAGCACTGGCTGAGATTGCTGCTGTGGAGCTAATACAACATGAATCTGGATGGTATGTGTACACACCGCTGGGATTGATGATGAGGGACCAAGGAAATTCAGTCAGTTGCCTTCATGCCTCTACATTGCCAGGGAGATAAGCCTCTATCTTCTCTAAAACAGGTTAATAATATTCTGACCTTTTTCCAGGTTTGTGGTTTTGGGGGGGGTGTGGTTTTTTTTTTGGTTTTTTTTTTTTTTTTTTACTCTCTTTCTATCTTTCTGTTAGCTTTCAGGTTTTTTTGAAAAGGAGAAATGAAGACTATTGTATCTGGTCTTGAAAGGCTGATTTAGGGAGGCAGATTATGGTTACTCAGTTTGAGAATACTCTTGGGTTTTTAATGCCTAGATTATTGAAACATGATCAGAAGAAACTGGTTATCTCTAAAGCAGATCCAGATTCTCCTCATTATGGCATCTCTCCAAGTGGAGGCAGCACTAAGTAGCCATGCTCATAATTTCTAGTTTCTGGGAATCACCTCTTGGCTCAAAGCACGTTCATGCATGCAGAATAAGTACCATCATAACTGTCTTGCTGTCCTTTCCTTGGTGGTCTCCCACCTAAGCACTGAGCAGACCCTTGTTACTGCAGGCCTGACAGATATGATAGCACTGTGGGAGGACAGGACATACACTAGCATGACATCTCTCCCACTAGTGCCACAGAGTACATATGACATAGGAGGTGATGTAAGGACAGCATACAGCTCCATTCCCTTCCCTTTCCTTCTGCCTTAAGTAAACTTCAGGTATGTGATGCCTGCAATGCTCTTATGGATATAAGCACCATGTCTGTCTTAGGTTTTCAAAAGTCAGCCTTCTGCTTTTCTCTCTTATGTGTAGGCACTAATGGCTTCAGGTACACTGCTGTTTTCAACAGCCACAAGCTCACAATGGGATCAGTTGCTCTTAGTTAAAATACTTTGTGTTATATGGCCAGTGATCTGTGCACACCTAAATTACAGGGTGAAAAGGGAGAAAAGGCAAAGATGGGAGAAGGTGAAAAATCAGATCAGTTCTTTCAACACCTCTTTCTTCACCAGAGACAATACCCAGCTAACAATAACAGATTCACCCCTCTCCTTATGATCTTCCTCCTCAGCAGGATTTTCTGCTTTCCCTTGTATAGAAGTACAAAGATGTGGAGCCAACTCTGAAGATCAAAGAGGTGGATGGCTTGGAGCTGGTGAAGAAGTTCTCAGAGCAGATGGAAAGCATGCTCCGAAGGAAGGTTGAAGCTGTTGAGGTATGATGACAGGGGCTATGGGGAGGGAAGTCCTCTCCTGTCAGCCCCAGAGCTGTAGACATAGGCCTCCTGCCTGTACCAGGAGCGTGTGGGTGTAGAGGTTGCATGAGGACTTCCTTGCCCAACTAAATGCCTGCTGGTGCAGCTGGCTGCTCACTGAGCTTTAAGCAGACACTGGTGGGAGGATGTGGGCGTTCAGACAAGGGAATGCTGGCTTCTCACTCAGCCCAAAGTAGGAAATACGATTAAAAAAAAAAAGGTCTAGGAATAAATATGAGGGAACGAATGCCATTTTGTCCTGAAAGAGCTGTTTAAAAAGAAAAATCTTCTCAAGTGAAAACAAAGTTCATCCTTGCATAATGCACTCTGCCATTGAAGACTAGTAGCTTGTTTCAGCTCTGTGTGGCTTGAGGGAAGTTCCTGCAGCCCCCTGAAAACTAGCTGCAAGGAAGGTGCCTGAATTTCCATCTGTGTACACAGGGAAGCACGGAGGAGGTGGAAAGAGGTCTTTAACTGTTGCTGTGTTGAGGATCAGAGCAGGTAATCGTTGTGGCCACTCTTACTTCTTGCATTTAAGGCTCTATCACATTCCCTTATATTTACACACTGTGAAAAGCATATTTCTGTAGTCACAGAGCCTTGACTGTTTAAGGTGTCTAATGTGGAAAACTCATCCAGAAACACATCATTTGAATCTCAAAGTGAAATGTGGATATATTCAGACCCAGAGCTTTGGCCCATAATATTAAATTCATAGTGAGACTTTTCCAGCGTTTGGATTACGTTATCCTTTGTGAAAAAAAAAAAAAATAAAAAAATAAAAAAATAGTTTTTCTGAGACTGTTGCCGATTGTGCAGCTCTGAAAACATGTATGTATTCAGCTGGATTACTTCCCACTCTGTACCAATTGAGAATTAATGCCCTGAATCGTCATACTGGAGAGTATTAGTTGATTATATTGCCTTCCATAAATGGTAAAAGCTTATAAGTGGCCACAGCATTGTTGAGCCCTTTACAAAATCGAGTCATGGTCTTTGTCTCAGTAACAATACCAGACTGAGACTCCCACAAGGCCTTTTCTCTTGATGAGATGCTGACATCAGGCTGGGCCTGAAATGCCTTTCCCATGGTTCTTTGGAAGCATTCATGGAAAATGAAATTAAATCTTTGGCTGTTGTTTCTCTAAATAGCCGTTTCTGTTTGTATATGCCCTGTGATATCTAAGATTCCTCAGGGGTTCAGTAGGGACTGTGGAGTAAGTAGGTGTGAATATACTTTGCAATAAGTAGCTGTGAATAAACCTTCCAAGCTGTAAAGTTGCAGCACAGAATGACAGATCAGCAGAAAAGGAGGGGGAAAGGGAAGTTTATGGCCCCACGACTCTGTGTTGTGGTGAAGGAGGCAGTTATGTGTCTTTTCATTAGCTGTATGAATTGGCTGATAGAGCTGGAAAAGCTTCTGGAGAGCTTCCCACAGCACCCCTTCATCTTTCTTTCTGTGTGCTTGCATTAGAGGTTGGTGGAAGCAGCAGAAGATGCAGATCTGAACCACGAGTACAACTCCTCACTGGAAGTAAGTTTATGTGACAAAATATGACATGTATCCTCCAAGAGACTAGTCAAAATGCAGGTCTAGCAGCACCCAGCCACTACAGATTCCAGGACAGGTTTGGAGTTTCCTTTTCTTCAGGACATCCAGCTTGTCTACAAAGTAGGGTAGGAGACTCCTTTGGCAGATCCCAAATCTAGCAACACCAAGGACATTAGTCCCTTTGACTCCAGGAGAAAGATTTGGGAGGACACTGGGTTGCAGTGTTACCTGCAATATATTTACTGCACAACAATGTTGCCATCATGTGATGTGTTAGTACAAACTAAATGGTGCTTTGTGGGTTACTTGACTAGAAAATGAGCTAAAAATTGAGTGTGTATGGGCAATGAGGGGGATGCTGTTAGAAATATCCACAGCAAACTGTTAATCCCAATGAGCTGAGTTTCTCACCATCTTTTTCAACAGCTTTCATCATCTTTTCTCTACCCTGCAGTCACGCACTTGTGAGGACTTCCCGTTAGGTGAAAGTTTGGTGCTGTTCAAGCAATTTGGATAATTGGCTTTCTGTTAATAACTGTTGTAGCCAAGCTATGGGATTATTGCTGGTGAAGGGAAATGGAATGAAAACTGATAAAGGGACCCCACTGTCCACAGTACAAGCACAGAGTGCTTTGCAGAGGTACAGGCCACTCCTGCAAGTATAATACTTCATGTTGGGAACGAGTGGGAATGAAAGCACTTCTTGAAATCAAGCTAGCTACCAATTTCACCTCTCCTGCCTCTTTATTTAAGGATCATGTTATGGCCATACTATCATACTAGTCAGGTCAACTGTATTCACAATAAGGGTTATGGGTGAGTTGAAACACATGACTCTGTGTTCGCACACACAATTCATAACTCCTGAGTACTGTTAGTACTTGAACACAAATACTTATATAACCTTTTCCCTCAGATAAGTCAACAAAAACATCTTAAAAATAAGTTTTCCAAGGGGGAAGAGTGTCCTGATGATACTAAAGTAACCAGAGACATTAAATCTCCCTTCACAAGGGAAAAATTGTGTTGTCTTTAAACACCTTCTGCTCTATCCTTTGCTCTTGACAAGTGCCTGCTGCTTGGAGTGACAGTGAGGGGATAATCCTGGCTGGATGCACATAAGGAGTTAACTCTAGTAAATGACAGCTGTAGAGACAGGGCAAGTAAGGTCAGCACTGGCATGCCCTGAAGCAAACCTGGGAGCCAGACTCAGTGAGACACTCCACCTTTCTGGCTAGTCACTTAAAGACCTCTGAGGAACCACAGGAGTCTGCCACTACGTCCCTTTGCTCTCAGGTGGCTGTTCTGCTGCTGGTTATGACCATGCTTTCAGTCAAGTACGCACCTGACATTAAGAAACTGGGCAGAAACCATCTTTTGCGCAGCTTGGCACTCTGTTTGGTAACAGCACTTGTTTGCTGTTTGTCTTGATCCTATTTGAAGCCTGAATTCTTCAGATGTCCCTTTTATATGTTTAAAAGAGTGTTTTTTTTTCAGGCAGTACTGGTAACTGTCTTATTCTCTATTGTTGCCTTTCTCTTTTCCACTGTTTTCATCAACAGTTTGATTACTATAACTCTGTCCTGATTAATGAGAAGGATGAAAATGACAATTATGTTGAGCTTGGAGACGAATTCATTTTGGAGCCAAACGAACATTTCAATAACCTATTGGTGAACACAACATACAGTGATATCCAGCTCCCCACCAATGTCTACAATAAAGGTAAGGGCTTCTACTTCTTCACTACCAGTAGGTTGCTTTGGAAACTACCAATAATAATACTAAAAGAAAGGATGATAACAGAGGAGAGGGGGAAACAAAACAAACAAACAAAAAAAAAAAAACAAAACAACCAAAGCACCACAAATGACAGAAAAGTAAAGAAAATAGAGCTGGAAAAGTAATGTCCCAAGGCACAGTCATATCTGTGCTGTAGTCTGTCACAGTGACAGGACTTAGGTATAATCTGCTCTTGGAAGACCTCTAATGATCAACAGTCCTAAATCTTAGGCAGGCAGTATAGTCTCCTAGGGTTCATCTACCCAAACAAAGATGCTGTGAAAGACTGTGATGTGAATTTATTGGCAATTGTTACTCTGTACAAAGGATCAGCTCTGTCAAGGGCTTTAGGTGTCAAGGATCTCATTGATTTCATCTGAGAATTTAGACCCCAAGTACCTCTGTGTTATGAGGCACTAAGACATCACAGGGACACTCTTCATTCCCAGTGAGCTTATCTGTAGAGGACTGGCGGTAATTGGCAACTGCTACTGGGACATGACTGTTCTGGGCTATTTTCCATTCTCGGCAAGCCTTTGGCACTTTGGCAGCTGTGGAAGCCCAGGGAAGCACCAAGGCTCACATAGCCTCACCTGTGCCTGGATTGTGTCCTCTTTTCATGCACACTGACACCACTTCAGCTACCCACCAGAAACCGGCCCCTCTCCAGGCTGGTCAGCACGCTGACAAGTCTGCAGGCTGAGACACCACTTGTGATTATCTGAAGTTTACTGCTCCTTTTGGCCAGCACTCAAAGCTGCCTGAACTGGTTGCTTCTTCATATCCCCATCATCTCTTCCCCTTGCATATATTTTGGCAAGAAAAAAAGCACCGTTACTTCTCTCGTAAATGGAGCTCTTTTACAGTCTTTGTGACCAGACGGGGTAATGTTGTGGTGAGCAGAGCCCACCCTAGGCAGGGATCGGCGTGCGGAAGATCTCGCGATGTAACGGAAAGCTCAGACTGCCCACGAGGGGCCTTGTGGGTGTGGCTTGTCATATATAAGCAATTGCAGCGACGCAATAAACGCCATTTGCAGCATCCTTCACATTGAAGCCAGTGTCTGTGATGGTACCCAACGGCAGAGGTTGGGTGGCAGCTATCCCGGGGATCGGGTGTCGGTAACGACAGGGTAAGCACTGGTATGTTCTTTAGAAGGACAGTAAAGGGAGTTCTACTTCTCCCACAATTTTAAATTAATTCCATGTAGTCTAACAACCCCAGACACAGAAATCTTGCTCACAATAGAGCCACCAGTAGTGCTGGCTATGGGTAGCTATAGCAGAGCTACACAAACCAAGCTGCTGCATACAGCATCGTACAAAAAGAGGTGTCCAAATGGCCACTGTCAGAGACAGCAGAGAAGCACTGCCCAGCTAGCTGACTTCAAGCCTGTACAGCTTGAGACAAACCACCCAGCTGCTCTGGCTTTGGCTGGAGGATGAACAGGAGATGAAGGAAGAGGGCTGTTTCCATGCCCAGGGCTCCTCCCAGGAGCAGTGCCTGGCAGTACTCTTT